TACTTTCAATATAAAGCTTCTATAAAGTTCTTTCATTCATTTACTCCATAAGTTACAGAACAACTGAGCAGTAAAAACTGTTGTAGAGAAACACTGAAAACAAGATAAACTGAAAAAAAACAGAGGTGTACCAGGTACCAAGGGCTTATGCCTGTAACTCTAGCTACTCAGGAGGCTGAGATCTGAGGATTATAGTTTGAAGCCAGAAAAAAAGCTGGAGTATAGCTGTAGCTCAAGAGGTAGAGCACTAGCCTTGAGTAAAAGAAGCCTAGGAACAGCCCTGAGTTCAAGCCTCAGAAGCAACAAAAAAGAGAGACAGGAAAGAAAGATTTTTCATAGAACAATAATATTTTAATACACAACTCCAATTGTTAGTAAGGTCTATTCTCATTTTTTTCATAGAGCTATGTCAGAGACTCAGCAGCCTTCTAATTGATCCCTCCTTTGTGGCAAGCTATTTTCTCATCCACTCAATCTTTCAACAACTGTTTAAATAGAGCCACTATCAATTGCAAGGTGCTAAGAATATAGCAATACGGAAGAAACATAGTGCTTTACATCACAATATTTGTTTAATTTGTTTGAATCTCAATTTATTGGAAAAAAACTTCAGTAATAATGTGTGAAAGCACTCATTTTAAGGTACTTTTTAAAGTTTCACCACTTACTAGTTAGTGGAACAATGCTTAATTTTTTAGATTTACAAAAAACTTGTAATTAATAAAATCATAGTCATTTAATAAGAAGTAGTGGGATGTATATAATCAAAGGATATTATATACATGCATAAAATTTATAACAAAACCCATTTTCTATACCATTAATATATATTAATAAAAAGGGGGAAAGAATAGCCATTTAATCTAGAAGTAACCTTTCAAAAATGTCTTCTATGTCTGACTATCATCTCTGATATTTCGTAAAATAATTCTAACTTTGAAATGAAATAATACTGCTTCTTCACCTGTTTTTGTTCTTTTGCAGACATGGTCAGTGACTGGGTGCCCTCTAGTGGACATCAGATGTCAACAGAAGTTGTACAAGTTACAGTCATTAGTAAAAGTGCACTTTTGTTGTTTAGACCAAATTGAAATAAGTAACTTGAGTATTTTAAATGTCAATATGTACATTAAACTGAAGTAAACTTGAATCATTTTCATGTTTCCTTCATTTAAGAGACCTATAAATGTAGTGACTATGTGTTAGCTTGTACAAGACAGTCCCAGGTACAATGTAAACGTATAACCACCAATATATTTTATTATTTAATAACTTAAAGAGATAATTTGTCAAGCCAGTTGCTGGGGCCAGTGGCTCATGCCTGTAACCCTAGCTACTCAGAAGGCTGAGATCTGTCTGAGGAGCACAGTTCAAAGCCAGCCCAGGCAACTTCAAGACCAGGACAGTCTGTCTGTCTATCTTTCTCCCACCCCCTCTCTCTCACACATACACATACACACGCGTGTGCGTGCACGTGCACACACACACACACATACAAATACACACACAAAGATAATTTTTTCTTTCAGAGCTCATATTGTATTCCTATATTTTTTTAGCATTAGCTAAATGAGAACACCTCATTATTTGTCTTTAGATAATCACTCTGTCAATAAAAGACAAAGATTCTGCAGAAAAGGTATCAGCCAACTTAAAGACAGTAATATAGCTTTCATTCTTTCACTATGCACTAAGTATTCATATGAATAAAAATAATTTACCAACAGTGGTACCTACTAACTGTCCAAATGAAGCACTGAAATTGTGAGCGAACACCTGAATGGAAAATTTAAAACAACTACCTTAAGTAATCCTATGAACTAGAAGAAAACACAAATGATTCTCTGAAAAACAGATTTTTAAAACTCAAAAAATCACTGAGCTGAAAAATCACTAAGTAGATTTTTAAATACAATAAAAGCAAAATGAATCCCAATATAGGGGCACAAGTGGTTCTTCCTTTCTTGCTATTGTTTCTAACATATTTATAAGGTATTGTGTGGTGTTTTTTTTGTTGTTGCTTTGTATGTCCCGCCCCCACAAAATAACTCGTTTTCACTGTATTTGATATTGGTATAATTTGGGAAAGGGAAGAGAAAAAAATAAATTGTTTAGGGGCTGGGAAGGTGGCTCAATGGTAGAGCACTTGCCTTGCATGCATGAGGCCCTGGGTTCGATTCCTCAGCACCACATAAGCAAAAAGAAAAAAAGCTGGAAGTGGCACTGTGGCTCAAGTGGCTAGCCTTGAGCTGAAGAGCTGAGGGACAGTGCCCAGGCCCAGAGTTCAGGCCCCACGACCAGACCCCAAAATAAAAAATAATAAAAGTTTAAAAAAATAAATAAATAAATAAATTGTTTAAATAGGGATACAGGTTGACCCATTGCAACAATGAGATGTACAAGACGCTATGTCGAAAAATGAACTTTACAATTCAGGCGAGGGAGGGGTGGGAATGTAGTTGAGGAGTGGGAGGGAAGGGATGGTAGGGGAAAAACAAAGGAGGAGGCAACAATGCTTGATAAGGAATGTACTCCTTACCTTGCTCATGTAACTGTAACCCCTCTGCACAGTATTTTCACAATAAAAAACTTATTTTAAAAAAGAAGCCACAAAGGAGAAGAATAAACCAGGCATAATAATTAGCGAGCTCAAAGACAGGCTATTTCAAAATACAAAGGAATGAAAACTCTTCACAGGAATTTTGCAACATTGAAAGAACAAATATTTAAGCTATTAGGGTTCAGAGGGACTTGAGAAGAAAACAAATTCAAAGTAACAACAAAATATCCCAAGTATGAAAGATACAACTATCAAGCTAGGCACTGGTGACTCATGTCTACATTCCTAACTACTAAGGAGGCTGAGAACTGAGGATTGTAGTTGTAGGCCAGCCCAGGCAGCAAAGCCAGTGAGATTCTTATCTCCAATAAACTACTCAGAAAAGGCTGGAAGTGGCACCTTGGTTCAGGTGGTAGAGCACTAGCCTTGAGCATAAAGATATATGTGAAAAAAAATGCAAAGTCATATCTTTGTAGAAGAACACTAAACTGTACTTACAATGTAATTCTAAATTTCAAATCGAAAATTTTTGAATAATCAAAACAGCTTAAAAAAACAAAGTCAGGGGCCCAACACCATCTGGTTTTAACAGTATACACCAGCAGTTATCAAAACAACATGATACTGACATGAAGATACATGGATGGGATGGGATGGGATGGGATGGGATGGGATGGGATGGGATGGGATGGGATGGGATGGGATGGGATGGGATGGGATGGGATGGGATGGGATGGGATGGGATGGGATGGGATGGGATGGGAAGGGAAGGGAAGACTGTGTGAATGGACCCACTCAAATGCTGACAAAAACTCATTTTGGACAAAAAGTCACAGTAAGGTTACTTTTTACCAAATTTTTTAAAATAGAATAAATGAATTATTTATTTTTTATGTTGAAATATTTTTTTATTGTGAAAATACCGTACAGAGGGGTTACAATAACATGGGCAAGGTAATGAGTACATTTCTTATCAAGCATTGTTGCCTCCTCCTTTGTTTCCCCTTACCAGTCCTTCCCATCTCCCCCCTCCCTCCACCCCCCATCCCTTCCTTCCCCCTGCGCCAAAGTTGTAAAGTTCGTTTTCAACACAGCGTCTTGTACATCTCATTGTTGCAATGGGTCCACCTGTATCACTATTTAAACAGTTTTTTTTCCCTTCCCCTCCACAAATTATACCAACATCAAATACAGTGAAAACAGGGGTTGTACCATCGGGGAGGGACATACAAAGCAACAAAGAAATATCTTATAAATATGTTAGAATCAATAGCAAGAAAGAAAAACCATTTGAGTCCTTATCTTGGGGTTCATTTCCCTAACATCAACTTATCTGACCTTTTCTGCTTGTCTCAAACATATACTAGTTATTGTAAATAAGGGAAACCATGGGACCTATGTTTCTTTGGGCCTGGCTTACTTCACTTAATATAATTTTTTCCAAGTCTTTCCATTTCCTAACAAATGGGGCAGTAAATGTAAAAACTAAAATCATACTATTTTTAAGAGCAAATACAGAGTATGTTCTGACATCATAATATGCCCAAACTATAAATTTGAGAGAAGGAATCAGAATACAACATCGCTTAGATTCTTAGGGCAGGTAATAATTCCTTTGAAAATACCCAAAAAAGCACTAAGCGCAATAGCAAATTATACATCACCAAAACAAAATTTTTCTTCATCAAAAAATAGTTAAGAAACTTTAACCAAATACATTTCAAGAAATTTCAAACCAAATTTTGGCAGTGCATAGAAGTTAAAAGGAATATAAAGCACTCAATAATTTAAAATAATCCTAAAACACAAAAAATCTTTTTTTTTAATACACAGCTCAAGAAAAATGTGAACAGCTACTAAACAGAAGAAGAAATATCTTCTTTTTGTTGGAGAACTCAAAACTAGAATGAGAGCTGGGCACTGGTAGCCCTCAGCTTAAGTCCTAGCTACTCAAGAGGTTGAGATCTAAAGGTTAAAGTCTGAAGCCACTCCAGGTTGACAAATTCATGATACTCTTATTGCTTAAAAAAAAATAACAAAAAAATAGCAAAAGGCCAAAAGAAGAGATATGGATCAAGTGGTAGAGCCCAAGCCATGAGAAGAAAAAAGGAAGAGTATGAAAGCCTCCAGTACTGCCCAAGAAAGGTGAGAGAGAGAGAACTACAATAATTCCACTAGGAAGTTTATAATTAAAAAAAAATTGGAATCCCATTTAATTGTATTTCTTTAATCCAGAAAGATGTTGATAACACTCATACATCAAACATAACCTAGCATATCTCAACTCCTAAATATCATATTCAGCATATGTAAAATGCACAGACATTAACATTACATTTAGACAACTCACTGTTGTCAAAACATTCCATATGTGTTTACTTCTGTTTGAAATGAAGATTAATAATAACCCATTTACCTAAAGATTAAACAAAATGTTTACCTGTCTGAAGCTATGTCACTGGCAATTTGGTGCTTTACTTCTGACCCATTCTTAATAGAATTCTGTCTTGTGAGCCCAGGAGATCGACTTTTCTCCACTGCAGGTATAGGTAAATCGCCTGAGGGTCCCTGGAATTGGACCTGCTCATGTAGCTTTGCTTTCTTCTCCTGAGGTGCCTCCTCATTTCTCTGTCCTCGAAGAATCTTTTGATCAGACTGCTGTGGTGTATTAGACCCACTATTATAAAACCATGCTCCTGATTTAGTGAGGATTTCTTGTTGTTTTCGGCACAAATTACATACCCACATAACCTGCAAAAGAAGACATAAGAAAAAGAAATTATTCTCTCCAAAAGTTAGAAATGGACGGAAAGAAAAACAGCAATTCAAGCCAACAAAAAAATTTTATGGTAATCCTACTGAAATTAAAATGCAAGTAATTGCTACTACAAATTAAATAATTTATCATTTATTTTAATTTTGTCAGAGTAATTATAATGAAATAAGCAATAGTTACTGAGAATAGAAATATTATAGAATCAAATTACTAATGTATTTTTATTGCTAGTTGTTTATTTGTATTCTTTATATTTATTTAATTACATATATAACAAAGTACACAGAAAAATGAATTTTGAATTTAAATACTAACTCCCAGACTCCTTGCTAAAGACTGCAAAGTGAGCTTGCTGAAGAAGTTGGAAACCTACAGAACTTGTTTCCTTAAAAAGAAATACTATTTATTTTCCTGTATAATTTTGAAAATTAGAAACAATTTATATTAAAATGTCTTCTATATAATAGACTTCCAGTAAATCATTTGTCAGTATTAAGGTCATCTCCTATTACCAATAATATTATATGATGCTTGAAGGGACTTTTATTTCATTTACATAGTTCCTAATGCTTAAAATTAGGCTAAAATATTATTAGCTCAGTAAAAATCTATTAATAGCTCATAATTTGTAGTAATCCATTTGATTTTTAATGTAGTTTAAAAAAATCATAAAATTACCATTTTAATAAGTTTTTTATTGTGAAAATACTGTATAGAGGGGTTACAATCACATGAGCAAGGTAATAAGTACATTTCTTTTTCTTTTTTTTATTGTGAAAATACTGTACAGAGGGGTTACAATTACATGGGCAAGATAATGAGTACATTTCTTATCAAGCATTGTTGTCGCCTCCTTTGTTTTTCCCCTACCATCCTCCCCCCCCCACCCCCCCCACCCCCCCACCCCCCCCCCCCCCCCCCCCCCCGCCAAAATTGTAGAGTTTGTTACATTTCATTGCTGCAATGGGTCAACCTGTATCTCTATTTAAAGAATTTGGTTTTTCCCTTCCACTCCCCAAATTATACCGACATCAAATACAGTAAAAACAGGGGTTATACGTGGGGGAGGGACATAAGAAGCAACGAAGAAATCACGTGGTATCTTATAAATACGTTAGAAACTATAGCAAGAAAGAAAAACCATTTGTGTCCCTATCTTGGGGTTCATATCGCTTAACATCATCTTATCTGACCTTTTCTTCTTGTCTCAGATATATACTAGTTATTGCAAATAAGGGAAACCATGGGACCTATGTTTCTTTGCGGCTGTCTTACTTCACTTAATATAATTTTTTCCAAGTTTTTCCATTTCCTAACAAAGGGGGCAATGTCATTCCTTCTGATGGAGGCACAGAATTTCATTGTGTAAATATAACACATTTTCTTGATCCATTCATCTACTGAGGGGCATCTGGGTTGGTTCCATATCTTAGCTATGGTAAATAATGCTGCAATAAACATAGTTGTGCTGGTATGGTCTTGTTTGTGATCATTTGGGTAAATGCCCAAAAGTGGGAATGCTGGGTCATAGGGGAGATCTATGTGGAGTCTTTTGAGAAACCTCCATACTGCTTTCCAAAGTGGTTGAATAAGTTTACACTCCCACCAACAATGCAGTAAGGTTTCCTTCTGTCCACATCCCCTCCAGCATCTGTTGTTATTAGAGTTCACCATCACCATTTTTAAGTGTACTCTTCAGGTAAGTACATTTACACTGTTGTAAATATATCTCCAAAAACTCTTACAAACTTGAGACTGTATACCCATTAAACAGCAATGGCCCATTCTCCTTTCTGAACTGCTGGTAAATAACCATTCTATATATTTATAATAAATATATTCGGGCTGGGAAGGTGGCTCAGTGGTAGAGCGCTTGCCTTGCAAGCATGAGGCCCTGGGTTCAATTCCTCAGCACCACATAAACAGAAAAAAGCCAGAAGTGGTGCTGTGGCTCCAGTGGTAGAGTGCTAGCCTTGAGCTGAAGAGCTGAGGGAAAGCACCCAGGCCCAGAGTTCAGGCCCCATGACCGGCAAAAAAATAAATAAATAAATATATTCTATATTCTAGATGATTTTAATACCTACATTTTTAGTACAGTAATCTAAGTAAGCTACTATATGTATAATCAGAAAACCCATCAACCCCTTCTAATTTTTTTTCTAATTCATAGAAAAAATTACAAAAGAAAAGGTGAGCTATTTCAAGTGATTACTGATATATTAATGTTAAATACTGACCCTGTAAAGTTCTCCATATTGATAAATATTTTATCATATTTAAATAAATTATAAATAAATAATATCAATATAGGTAATCCTATTAAAAGAAACCTTTAGGATACAGAAATGAACTTATTAGATACACATAGTCCAAGCACCAGCATTCAACATAGTGTGTTCAGCTAAAACAAAGATGTTTTTTATAAAAATAGTATTTAAAGTTTTTTAATGTTCCGCTGTACCAGTTTCATGTTTGTACAGTTCTAAATATACAGTATCGTACAGTTCACTTTTTTAATGTTTTGTTCTTTCTTTGAGTTAGTTGTATTAATATTTCTTTTTTCTCAAACTAAATGTAAAGCTCTCTGGAGAGAAGGATTATATTATCTGCTAGCATAGTTAGACCATAGTTAGACCACAGAATTTAAACAGATTCCTGCACATATTACAGTGATAAGCTATGCCAGATGATTCTAAAATATGACTGTATCTAGAATGAGTCACACTCAGAGCCCAGTACCCCAGATCTCCTACTGAACTAAAAGCCTGAGGGAAGGACACAGCAGTCTGCGACATCCCCCCTGCCAAAATCCTCCAAATGATTCTGATATTTGAATTTGAGAATCATTGTTTTGTGACAAGGATTCTCAACTCAATACATGAGTGAATTGCAAACGTGGTCTCCAGAGGGCTAAGACCAAAGGAGTGCATGAATATTCTCATCAGTTCACCTTAGCAAGAACTAAACATGATACATATACTGTATTTCTGTGAAGCCCAATATGAGGTAATTGTTGGAACCATTACCAACCTTATTTTCCTCATCTGTTAATACCCACTAGATATTAATATAAGCATAAATTTTAAAGGATTCTGTTTGACTAGTATTCACTATTGTGTATTAATATCTTTCTAAAACTCCCTAGACTATCCTCATTCATTGATCTTTTTCTGACTAGATCACTTAAGCCCCTCTAAACTAGTATCTTCATATTCTACCATACAAATTATCTCTTAGGCTTTATTTACAGAGAGAGATTTTTTTTTTTGTTTTATTGTATTTATTTGTTCTTGTGGGTTTTGTTTGTTTGGTTGGGTGGCTTTTAGGTTGGTTTGGGGTGTTTTGTTTTGTTTTGATGACTATCTATGCTTGCCTTTCAAATATCTGGGCCTTGAGAATCAGGATTTCAGAGGATAGGATATTATTTCAAAGTGTAACGTTTTCGGTTTTCTGAGACATGATCTTGCTATTTAGTCCAAACTGGCTTCACATTCTCCACCCTCCTTCTTCAGTCTCCTGAGTGCTGGGATTACAAGCATGTGCCACTCTGCCTCAAATTATCTTTCTTTTTTTCTTTTACATTGATAGATTCTATAAACTTTAAAGTTCATAAATATCAAAAGTTTAAGAATTCCTAAATCCACTCACAGAAAGTACTACAAAAAGACCTTACACCTTTATAACACAGCAATTTATTAATTTTCAACTACCTCTCACAAGTGCATATATATAAATGCAAGATAATTTTTCACTAACTATGAGACGAATAATATTCATTAGAGGAAAATTCCATGTCCATGGAAAATATCTGAACTAATTTGGGAATTAAATCACAGGGTTGTGTAAATTAACCACATTAACCAAGTAAGCTAACCATCAATTATATTTCATAACAAATGCTATTAAAAATATCTTAGATATATGTACACATGTAAATAACTAAAAATATGTTAAAGCCTATGATATTACTGGTCCTGATATTTATCAAAAATATCTAGACCTTGCAATTCAGGATTTCAAAGTATAATATATTATATTTCCTTCCAGTCCTAAATATGCCAATTCTTTTCAGTCATTATCCATATTAAGACATAAGGTTTCTAATGAACCACACTTGTCATTTAATACTAATGCTAATTCTACTAACTTTGTTGGTGAGGCTGAAAAAAATACTATTTTTTTTGTTTGATGAATTGTATATTCTTATTCATTCCCTATTATCTTGGGTGTTTTTGTACATTTTTTATTGTAAAATTACTGTACAGAGGGATGAGTTACATGAGATCCCTCAAAACACTAAACATAGACCTTCCTTACAACACAGCCATACCACTCCTGGGCATCTATCCTGAACCTATGAGCCAGGATATGCTAAAGACACATCCATGTTCACTGATGTGCTATTCAGAATAGCCAAGATATGGAAACCACTTAGATGACCCAAACTAGATGAGTGGATCAAAAAAATGTGGTACCTATACACACTGGAATTTTACACAACTATCAGAAAGAATAAAATAATGTTATTTGCAGGGAAATGTATACAACTAGAACAAATCATGTTAAGTGAATTGAAGTAAGCCAAGCTCAGAGAGGCAAATTATGTATATTCTCTCTGATATGCAAAAATTAGACCTAAAATACACTGGGAGATGATAAATCATACAGAATTTTAAATATTCACACACAGGGAGACCAAAAGAGGATACTCTTAAGAGAGAAACACAAAGGCGCAATGCCTAAGTGCCTATTAATATATATATATATATATATATACATATACACACATACATACACAGTGATAAGAACTCCAAGATATAGAGCCTTTTCTTCCTTTTGTTTAGTTTTTAGGTTTTGATGATTCTGTCTTCTTTACCCTATGTATGGTGTATTCAAGTATCCATCATCAGAAGGGGTGAAGGGAGGGTACAGAACTCAAGGGAAAAAGAGTGAAAAAGTGCACCAGTGGAGCTCA